TTTCTCTCTTTTCTCTCTTCGTCTTTCCTCTCCTACTTCTTGCTGTTTACTTTACTTTACAGTCAACGAACAAGACAGAATTCTAGGGCAGGTCAAACTTCAACACTTTGCTTTTGTTCTTTTCTACTTGCTTATTTCCTCGTTTCCTTTATTTTCTCTTTGTAGTAAGAACATTATCCCTTTTTCTCTTTATTGGAATATTTTTGTATATCAGAAATAAATACATTCATTTTTTATATAGCTTTGTCACATTTTGTTCTGTTTGCATTCTTTATTATTTCTGCTCATTTCTGTCTAGGAATCCTAGTCATTTGATTAAAATTATTTGGAAGTTCTTTATAGTTGTTTTTTTAGCAACTAAAATTGTCATCCTAGATTCAAATCTTGAATACAATCTACTTTGAATAGACCCCCTCCCCCTGCACGGCACAAGCATCCCTGGAAGTAGTTCAGGATAAGAAAACTTTTTTAACTTAAAATGCTATAGCAATCATGCTGGACACTCATGACAGATCTGTCATGATAAGAGGTAATTTTTGTTGAATTAGGTTTGAAGATAAAGAATCTTTTTTTTTATCAATATTGAAGATAAAGAATCTTTTAGATGAGGATAGGAAGGCCTTATGACCATAGATATGCAAACAAGTTTTGGTAATGTATGGAAGAGGTTAGTTAACTGGTTTGGAAAGTTGTTCAGCAACATGATAATACTAGGGGTGAAGAAACCATATTGCAATAGTGATAATAGATATACATAGGCGCATACAAAGGCATGGAACAATGGGTATTAGAAGATTGGTTTGTCTCAATGATAGGGAGAATTATTGTTTGTTTTTTAATTTTTAATTTTTTTTTTCAGTTCCAAAAAGGACATGAATTGAAGTAGTGAAAAATGATTTAAGGGCCCATAATTTGACAATGGATATGGCTTTGAACAGAATGGAATGGTGGAATCAGATTCATGTAGTGACCCATATAGCTAGGAAAAGGTTTAGATGATGATGATTATGATTTTTTTTTTCTTTGTTAACAGTGAAGCTATCCCTTTTGCTTGGGTGACTGATGGCAATATTTGCGGAGAAGAAATAGATCTCTAATTGCATTTGTTTGCCATGCTTTGTTTAGGAAATGGGTCTGGTAACTAGTTTATGAAAACCTGAAAGAAAAAGAGTTCCAACTGCAGGTCCACGTCAACTATTCCTGTAAATCATCATTGAATTTGTTAATGGACGTTTTTACATCTTACAAGAAGGTTCCCTAATTCATTTTGTTTGCTGATGATGTTATCTGGATGACAAGACTGAAGGGGCAGATTGAAAGTTAGAGATGTTAGAAATGCTTTAAGATTGATAGCCAAGGACCTTAAAACAACACTTTATTATTCATTGGCTTCATTTTTTCTGGATTGGAAGCATTGCAGGGTATCGGCTATATAACTTATAACAAGGTTGATGAAGTAAAGATATACTAGTAACTATGGAACACATTGAAAGGGGACAATAAAATGACCCTAGCCTGAATAAGAATGTTAAAGATGAAACTGGGGGTGTGCATATTTTGGTGGCAATCAATCCATTAAAGCAAATACGTTTATAGAGATATTAGGTTATGCTATCTATTAAATATGACTAGTTTTTTTTGGTGAAGAAGATGATACTTGATTTAGCTAGGTTAGGTTTCTCTATGTGAATGTGCAATCTCCTCTTGAACCTAAAAAGATATTTGATGTAGTGATTTTTGCCACCTTAAATTAAAAATAGAAGAGAGGTTTTGTTTGTTGGGTTATTAGGTGAAGAAGTCTAAAGTGACCAAGGAATCTTCCATATGGTAATTTAGTTTGGAGACCAATAGCTTAGTTTGGAATCCAAAAATATTTCTCATATTCTTCTAAGCCCTATTTTCATGGAACAAATTTCATTACCAAAGGAACTTGTCACATAGCTAGACAAAACCTGTTTTATGGATATCTTTTAAATTTAAAAACTGAGAACTGAGAACCAGGGATTCCAATTTGAACTGGTTGGATGATCCAACAAGACATATTGAATTGGACCAGTCCAGACTTAATGGTCCAAAGTACTTATTGGATTGGATTGGACCCGTTCCATCTATAATGGATTTATATTGGACTGGGTCAGGTTGAACCAATGTCCGGTCCATTGAAGGTGGAGGCTAAAGATTTCCTTTTTGAAGAAATGAGGATTAAAGGAAGACTCAGCTTGAAGATAAGAGAACAGAAAAAAGGCTATGGTGCTTGTGGAAGGCTTAGAAATGATTGCCTGGCTGAAAGGATTTGTATCTGATGCAGCAACTAAAGGGAAGCAGATAAGTTGGAAAGAAAACTTCTCAGAGATGGGTAGGAGGTATGTGCTGGAAAGCAAGAGGAATGCAAAATGTGCATTCATATCCCTCACTGAATATTTTGCTAAAGGAAGAAAACAAATGGTCTGTTTCCCTGCAGGGAAAAATAGTCAAGATTGGAAAAGGGTGGCTGATGTTTTAATAAGCTTCACAAATAGAAGGAAGATGAAGGAATGGAATATGGAGGAAGTGATCAGAACCAGTTCATTAGCAGTCCTATTTTGTGTGAGAAAGAGGAACAAAAACAGGAATTCCTGGCCTTGGTAAATAACAGTAGGAATCCCTCCTTGGTAGTAAACGGGATAACAGGGTAATGGGAAAGAATGCTAATGATTGAAGCTAAAAAGTTAGTGCAAGATTGGTGGAAAGTTGCAGAACTTTTGAGGTTCAAACTGGGGTTAAAGAACACTTTTATGTTAACTCCATTTGATCAAGCTAAGGCAGTTCTGGATCCCCTTGGAAACCAGGTAGATATCGATGCCTTATGTATTCAGGATACTTTGGGGACCTTCTCAATCTTTAAATGGTCTCCATCTTCCAACTCAAAGTTCTTCTTAGCGGAGGATAATGTGACTGTTCGAGTAGTTGGCTTCCTTCCCATCTTTGGAATCAAGAGACAGCAAACACTATCGCGTTACTGTGTGGTGCTCGCCTTGATGGTGTGTTCTGGGGAGACCTTCGAAGTGCAGCCATCCTACTGGGTGGAGTAAAATCAGAAGATATACCGAGGAAGGTGACTATTGGAGTGAATGGTTTATTCTTACCAGTTTGGTTAGCTTCCTCCATTGAAGCTGCACTCTGGAGGGAAGCTAGGCAAGAGGAAGACGTGAAGGTAGAGGAGATGGAGCTACGTGGAAGCATGTGGTTGGATAAACAAAAGGAACTGGGCAATTTCACCAAAATGGAAAGACAACCTTTAAGCAGTCCAAAAGGTTTGGGTCAGGGAGATAGTAAAAATCGTGAGCTACAAGGCAAAGGTTTGAAAACCAATAGAACTTTTGCCCAGGTAGTAGATTCTGGTGCCAAGAAAAAATCTTTGAATGAATTATCTTCTGCAAAGAAGGGGAAAGGTTCGTTGTTAGTAACGGTTGATCTGGAGAGGGGGGGGGGGGTAAACCTTCGGGTCAGACCGGGGCCCTTGTAGTGGTGGAAAACCATGTGCCAGTTGACCCAGCGGATATTGGGCTCTGTCCAAAACTATTTTAAATGGGCCCAAACAAACTGAATGTTGCCTTAAAGGGGCACGTGCAGACTTAAAGGAGCGTGTGACCG